GTTTCTCATTTCCTATGTAAGCTACTGTGCACTCTTAAAAAAGATTTCTGTGTATTTTATCTCGGTGTTTTCCAAAATTAAATAGAAGTAATAGCAGCTCGAGATCTGTCTCCGGAGAGTTCGTTCTACCTTAATGTTCTTGTAAGTCGATTTTTGTGAAAACACCTGTGTACCCGTGCAATACGATCAACACGTTTAAATGTACCTTGTATACTTGCGTGTATTATAAGATACATAAAGTTTTAATTTACATTGACAAGAGATAAAAATGTTTATATCAAGTCCAGACAATATATTTATTAGTAAGGTACAATAATATCTGTCGAGATAAAGAAGTTGAAAACTAATTGTATAAATAATTGTAATTGCATTGAAAAACGAGACAGTGTTGTTATGCTATTTTCACAAGCGTGGCGAATAAATAGGAAAAGTCATTTATTTTGAAGTATTCATTCAGTGAAAAAGCTTGATTTGTTCGCCGAGCTTTCCACAGTATGTCGCTAGCCTCCATTAATACTGCATAAGTAAATTTCATTTCATTTTGGGACATGTGCGCGTAGGATGCTGTTAAAATCTATACTTATTCATTCAGATAAATGATAGCGCCAGGAATTCGCGTGGGTAGTGGATGTGCAAAGAAAAAATAAAATTGACAAATAAATTATCGGAGTATATCTCACTTTGTACAAATAAAATATATTTCATATGTATTAACTGTTTGCGTATATGTTTGAGAGAAATTATACATTTTTTCTTTTAAATGTATAAAATCATCGTAAAATAGATTCTATCATGAAGCAATTGCGTTTTATTAAGCGTATATATTATACAAAGATTTCCATTTTCAAATATAAAGATAAATAAAAAATATATTATTTTCTTCAACAAATATAACTAGATCTTCGAAGAATGATTGACAATTAACGTGTCAAAATTATTCTTCTTACTCGGGTTTACCGCTCTATTTTGTATGCGCAACACAATAATATAGTTAGCAATGTCAATTGTTTGCATTTTGTCAATATATTTTTTATCTTCTCTGCTTAACTTTGAATAAAAAAACGCGTAAATGTAGAAAACGCTTGGAATATTGAACTTATTTTATGAAGCCGTTATTCAGGTATATTGGAAAAACACTTGACGACAGACGGTAATGAACATTACGAAGTGTAATTATCGATAATGACAAAATGACATTAATTAGCGGCATTAATTAATCAAGCACGATTTATTTTCTATGCACGACAATAAATTTGTTAGAACATTTATCGTAAAAGATTTGACATTCTATTGTTAAAATTGTTTATTAAAAAAGTTCTTTTAATATTACAGGCACAAAAAGATTCTAAAAATTGTAGTTATCGAAGAAAATAATACTATACAATTGTCCCTATAAACTCACATGCAACTGCTAATGATGGAACATAATCGACTATGACTATCAAAGTCAATCCTACGACGATTCTAAACCTTATGAAAAGCCCGAAAGCGCATTCACCGGGCAATACAGTAGCAATGCAATTGTTATGTCACTACATATCTAAAAAAAATTCATTTTTGATAGAACATAATCAAACACAATCGATTGCTGATTCAGCCGTAATCAGCAGAACAATCGCATTCTTCGTCTATTTCTTGCGAAGGGATTTCCGGCTGCAGATCAGGCATCCATAAAGGACTCACGAACTTTTGCACGTACGTTACGCTATAGCGAAAGCCCGCGTTTGCTTCACCTTTAACCCGGCAATTTATATTCGATGATTTTTTGTAAAGTGTTAAAGGCTGCCCGGTTTCACCTCGCGGCGGATAAATCAGTATCTTCTCCAATTTGATCCTATCGTATTTCGGTCTTCCAAGCCTCCGGCAGAGATGATTTTCTAACCATTTTCTCTCGATCGATTCTTGACTCGCTGTTCGATTGCCGATCGCCGATTGATTTCGCCGATCGCCACCGTTGTAATATTGCTGCGTGTTGGTTCTCGCTGCGTCGTAATAAGTCAATGGCTTATCAAACATATCTCGATTCATTGCCTTTACCTTCTCGCAAAAAGACTCGAGTTTCTTCACGGGATCCTTTTCATTGTAAGAAGAAGCTGATGACGAGCAGCAGCAGCAGCAGCAGCAGCAAGAGCAGACCGTGGATACCCACGAATCGCTGTCATCTTTTTCAGCGTCCTCGTTATTTCCGATGCACGTGCAAGAACCGGTGAAACACGCCGGTAAATCGTGGAACGGTTCCCTGCAGTCGCACGTGAATTCTGCGACGCCGCATCTCGAGGAATCCCTTAACGCGAGCTTTTCAGAAGTTTTTATCTCACGGGAAAGTTCACCTCTGCTAATCTTTTCTCGCGACTCCCGCTTTTCTTTCAGATGGTCGTTAAATTCGTCGCTCAAACGGCGCTCTCGATACGCTCGATCATCTGGAAGTGATACGCGCGGCTCCGAATCTTCGATCTTATCGTTGTAATTCTTTGCTCTGTCGGATCTGTCGAACGCCGATTTGTCGTACGTCACAGTCTCACCGCGCGAATTTTCTTCCAACAAATCGAAGTCAGACGCTGCTTCATCGTTGTTGCGCGACTGTTTCGGCTTGGACAGAGCTTCTTCGGTTTCTTGATCTTCAGCGTAACTGATTAATTTGCCTATTCGAACCTCACGACATTTGTCGCTCTCGCGTTGCGGCGGATAATTACGCTGAATGGGATCGTTCACGTCTTCCAACAGACAGCAGCAACACATCTCTGAGCACTTCTCCATCTCGTCCCGCTCGACATCTTTGAAGCAGCTATTTTCGCGTGTCATTTTGCACAATCTGTCGGTTTTTCTCGGCCCAAGATAATATAGCGAACCACGTTTCTCCGAAAGGTGCGGCTCTTGTCGCCGCTGATTGGCGTCGGTCTTGTACCTATTTGGTTTTTCTCGTCGGTAACTTCTATTGATCGATGTTCCAATAATAGGACTGGACGCTCGAAGTGGGAATTCTACTTTTCTTCGTAGTTGCGAGGCCCGTTCTTGCGAACTAATTTCAAGCGGCCACGTTGACAACCTGTTGGATCGCGAGCTCAAATCCCAACAAGTTGGTTGCTCAGATCTTCTCAAAGGATAACGATACCGGAAGGTATAAGGATACTCTTTATATCTTTTTTTTCTCGTAGCTGTCAGGTAAGAATGCGCTAATTTATCAGTCGCATTTCCGTCAGAATGAAACTCATCAAGTGGCTGTTGCGCCGTGAAGTCACTAATGTCATTCTCTAATTTTTCCATCATCTGAGTATTCTTTGCTCGCTCGTAGACGCGATAGTAAGGATCTCTTCGTTGCCTTTCGATGCACATGATGTTCGAGTAAATATTTGCGTAAGTAGAATCTCCGAGTCGTCTTCTGTGCAGTGATTTCGATGTGCGAACATTCGTTGCGGATTTTCTGTTAGTACTTCGTGACTCGTTAACTGTAGAATCAGGAATGGTGTTTTGAACGACATCAAAACTAGTTCTTTTGATCACTGATGGCCATATTTTGTGGTTTCTTTGGGAATACGAACTGTAGAATCTCGGTGAAGATTCGCCGTATTTGTGAGAATTTTGTTTGCTTGATAAGATCGGATAATGACGAATAGATTTAACAAAAGTATTTACCTTTCTTTCAGAATTCTCTTTATTGGTAAGAACGTGTTCTTTGCATGAACTAGATTTTCGTGAGGAGCAGCAATAATTACAAGAATTTGTGAAACGAGTGGAAGATCGTTTTATTCTTTTCTCTCGAGAAACTACATTTTTATTTCTCTTTAAGAGTATTTTGGATTTTTCTTTCTTAGATGGTCTAAACTTTGTATCTGAACACCTTACGCTGCAGTCACTGGATCTTTTTGTACCGGCATAATCTTCATCGCCGCTGCTTACCTCAAGGCGACACTTCTCTTTGATGTCCTTGATGTAATTTAATATATCTTTGTTCTTGAGACTTTTGAGATCATCGGTTTTGCAGTGCTCTTTGTAACTCTTCAACCAGTGAACATTTTCCTGATTGTTCTTATTATAGGATTGATCTATTTTTTCATTTTTTGACATTATTTTTATTTAAAATATCACTTTGATGAAATGAAGAAAATCACGTTGCGGTATCAGAATGTAATCTCGATGTAGCGACGCGAAATTTAAAAATGTATCAAACAAAGCGAAAAACATCACGTTTCTTCAAATCGTAATTTAGATTCAAATGTGTCTTATCGACATATCAGCTGAGATGTTGATTGTTCGTAAGACTCTAAGATCCGTGACAGCGTAAGGTTAAAAAAAGATCCCTTTTTGATCCTTTTTGACATTTTTGAATCTAGGTTTTTTTGTGTAAACATCGATTCTGATTGAGACCTATGCGTAACTTATATATAAATTCACATATGAAAACAAATTCAGATCATATCGAGATGTTCTGCATACGCGGTGTAAGAATGTATCTGCTATTATGTGGTAATATACATAATAACAGATTAAACCTCTGATCTGAAATGCAAACGTGAAATTTCAATCTTGACTATTTACGTGACACACGCGACATGAATAAAAACTAAACCATTCGCTTATGATTCAAATATTCTGCAATGATATTCCCGGTATAATGTGATTTTAGTCCGTATCGCTTTATTTTTATGTAACAATAGCCAGAGAAAAAAGTACCGTATAAAAAGGTGCAAACTAATTTGAGAAAGATATATAAATTAATACTAAAACTAATTTGTATAAAAGCTATAAATTTCTTTCTCTTTTTCTCTCATTAAGATAGAACTTTGATAGAGAGATGTCGACTGCAATATTTTACTTATTAATACTAACAAAAGCAACGAGAAAAGAGTGTACAATAAACATTTTTTTAGTAGTGTTTTTGTACAGTAATTTTTATAATATGTGCTCTGCTTTTGAAAGTACTACTGTGTAGAACCTAGCTACAGTTTGTGTAACTCGCTTTTCATGCGGTTTTACAATTAATAAAGTGCAAGTTTGAGTTATAAATACATAATACATAAATGCAAATAAACGTCATTTACGTCATCCGCGTCTCGCATGTCTGGTATATATGTCATATAAAAAGTGATGCCAAACTACCAATTTCCATTAACGTTCGAGCGATACATCGCCATATTTTATTTCTCGAGTAGCATTTATATTAATCGAGTTTATTAAAACTGCTTTATATAACAAACTTATTTTGTAGGAAAATTAGAGAATATTTATGACACAAAAGATTTATTTAATTTATCGATTTAGTATATTTATTTTATTTTGTCGATTATAGAAAACGTTTTCATTTTTCAATGTGTGTAAATAAAGTTCTTGAAATGAGAAAAAGCTGTCTCTTACAGCTGTTTCTCAGTTAACATCAGTTACAAAGGAAGCGATATCTCCTTAAAATACTTGGTCTTCTTTTTTGATGAAAATCCTCTTCAATATTATAATATGATCTATATATGAAATAAATTATAATAATTATACTATAATGTGTATATATATGTTAATAGAGAATTTACAATCAATTTAAGTTACATATTATCGCAAAACGTATAATAGCTTTGATAAATATAAGTAAAATGTTTAAAAACGTTAGAATTTACAATTAGAGTTTTATAACAATACCGTAATTTCGGTCCTACATCAAGAATGGTTTCTTTCAATTGTTCGATCGCTGAACGCCACGATTCTACTAATACCGGAACGTCATTAACGACGTTGTCTTTACACTCTTGTCCCATCCATGTGCCTATCGTAAGGATTAAGATGATTATTGCAATTCCTTGCAATGCTAACAGCCATTGATTGCAAAAAACGTCCTTCCAATAATTGCTCTTCGTGCTCTGCATATCGTGCATTATGTTACAAAAAAAACTAATAATCAATATCACATATTGACAAAAACAAATATTACAAATGTTCTCCATTTCTCTCCAAATTTTTTATCAATTGAATTAATTAATGCTTAAAAAATATCTAGGTACAGAAAACTTTTCTCCTATTTTATTTTCGAGAAGGATTTATTCTTCGCGTCGTAATAACGCGATTATCGAAATACGGGGCGGACTAAGTTTGTTTAGTTTCCATTATAAGAAGGTGCAGGAAGTCTACAGTAAACAGATTCCGTATAGAGTTTTTTCACTTTCACAATTTTGAATAATAATATCTCGAACGTCATTGGATTCGGAAGTTTAAAGACTTTTCATTGTGCACGTTGAGTGCACTGTCACTTCGTACGAAATCGCGACACATCAACGACGATGTTCTGTGTGTGTGTGTCGTAGGAATTCTATTTATCGAGTTTTCCCGACAGTCTTTCTATCGATTGCTCGGCTGTCGTTAAAACTTGAAGCCCGTCAACACACTTTTATGCGACCATATTACGACCGACTAGCTACACGAAAATGTGTGTCCTTGATAAACAAAAAAACTTTTCTACCGTTCCTTACTAAAGTTACTAATGAGCAATATTAATGTTTACTTGAGAATATTGATTCTATTTTAGAGATAGAAAATTTAGATTATAGATTCTCTTATTTTTTATTTTTTCTAACATGCGCATTAAATGATTAGATAGTTTAATTAATTTCCTATTATTAAGTTGTATATAAATTTGCCTAATTTTATTTTAACGAAGAGTTATCTTGATTAGAATTTGAATTTATTGTTATTATATTTTTCTATTTTTTAGGAGAGAAAAGCTTTGATTATATCGTTATATTAAAGTTGGGAATATATAATAACATGATATACTGGAAAGAAAATGACGAAGACGATACAGCAATCGGAGTAACCTTTAAATCGCTCTTGTATTTGTTCACATCTTCATCTCCTCCTAGATTTTTCACTGTTTTAATATCTTTATCATCTTTACTGAAAATATTGGGATTCACTCTTAATAACGGTCTCGACGTATAACTGCTGGATTTGCCAGCTTTGGTCGCGCCGCTGGAAACATAAATTATCTTTACTACTTTTTATTTAATTATGCAACGAATACAATTGAATTTATAAAACGATTCATATGTTGTTATATGAAATTATGTAGATATCATTTTACTTGGATATGTGTGAGCTTAAATAATTCATGGCCGTTCGTCCTCGTGCCTTGTGAATACCAAATGGCGAAGAGGCCACGAACTTAACCATATCACGTATGTGCAAACAAAAAATTTGGCAAAAAAATAGAAAATTAAACAAAATATATACTACATATATATGCTCGAGCGCTTATCGATATTAGTTTTGTTGATCGATGTTAAGACTACTTCATGAAGATAACACACACAAGTGTGTGTGTGATAATGTTTTACAATATTTTACACTAGCTATACTTACTAAGAAAAGTAAAGAAGGAAATATCTTTGACCAGCTAATATACATATATCACGTAGCCACGACATTTTCGATCGAAAATGCTAGTTTCTGAACCGATGAGTTCCCGATAGCGCATAACCTTACGTCGTCTTTACTATCACTTCACATGATTGTTCGAAATCGGTCTTTTATTATTAAGTTTGACAGCATTAATTACAACTGTTATTACTGGCTATTAATTCATTAGCTCTACAATAGCTGTGTATAAAGTCTCTTGATAAGTTTATTTTAATTTAATTGTAATTTTTTGTATGCCACATATCTAACATGCAGTTTCCTGAAAATAACCATTGATCCATCCATGCATGGCACTACATAACAGCTTAAGTTCAATATACTACAATCTAACGCCTTTCACGGTTTAAAATAGAATTGTTAACAATGTTAACATTGCTTTCCAATTTGTTCTCCAGTAAATATCTATAATCTTTATTTGACAAATAACATAGATAAATAAATTATTGCTCGATTGTTTATCCAAATGATAATGCTAAAGTCTTAAAGTAATTAATTACAATATGCGTAGAGAGAAAACAGCAGCAGAACAGATAGCACAGAAAAGATCATACTTAATTTTGGCAATGAAAAGTGAGAATTCCAAAAGTGGTGTAAGATTGATTGCGAGCTACGAGATACGTGCGAGGAAAACGAGTCGTAACCGTGATCACTTGATTTTGCGAACCAACAAATCAATCGAGATGCGACGCTTAGTTAGAGTTTCATTCGATGTCGCACGATTAGTTGACGCTTTCTGTGTGTAGAGACGTGATTAAAATAAATGACAATTATACGCTTTTCGTTTTTGGAGAACAAACATTGTTTAGAGAAAATACTCTAAATATACGGGAATGCATTCAATAATTACAATTAAACGACTGAAGCCTTCTGTTAATTTGTTAATTATTCGTTTGCGTCATCTCACGCGGCAATTGTTTACATCACAGTAGAGTTTGCATAAAACATTCCATTCATATTCATGAGCGAAAAGCGGATTACCCGAATACCCATGCCGTAAAGGTGACAGTATATCTTCAAATATTTTGTGCCGTATAATTTATTAACTTTATAAGAAGTTTTATATAATCTTTTATCTTATTTAATTTTATATTTAATCACGTGTTGCGAATGTAAGTAAATAAAAACTATTTTTTGTAAAAGAATTACATAAAAATATCAGCGTATTTAATTTTAATCTATAATCTAAGAAAATTATCATTTCTGAATATAATTTTAATAAATAGATAAATATTTTATTCTAATTATAATTTATTAATAGATAAATATATATAGACAAAAATTGTTAATAGATATATATATTATATATAGAAAATTTTTTTATGTGTAGTAATTTCAAATTGAACATACAAAAGAGCATTTTAGAGTAACACCGTATTTTGTTAAGTTCACTAAGAAAACTTAACTTTCACGTTAGGGATTTTGGAGATTTGATTTTCGTTTAGGTGCTCATTGGTATTCGATGGTAATCTGGAAGTACGCGTTTGCTCGAACTGCGTTTACATTCAAGATACACATATACATGTACAGTCGAAAGATCATGCTTCTCTGTGCTTCGCGTTTGCTTGGTATGTAGCTTGACATTTTCCAAAACTCCTATAATATTTAGATAATATAAGTTTGTCGGAGATTTTATATTGCTTCCAACTATATTGCAAATTACAATATTCCAAAAAAATAAATTTAAATAAATAAAATTAATTAAATAATAGAGAAAACACATCGGAGCGCTCATATGTATATCTATTAAAAAATGTAATTTTCTCTCTCTTTGAATAGGTTATTAATAAATAAAGTAATAAAACGATATCAAGATTGCATTTAATTTGATATTCACGATCAGAGTTGTAAAACTATTTCTTACTAAATGCAATTTTTGTAATTGAAAGTTATACTCGGTCTGTTAAAAAATGTGCTTTTAATTGTTTTGCTAAGTTCGGAGAGCGTTTTCACGATAATTGATTGATTTAAGTGAAACATTAGAATCTTTAGAAAAACTGAAGATGATATATAATTGAACATTCTATAATTTAACAGTCTTGTCAAAACCTCGGTAATAATATTTTTATATATTTTACTTAAAATATAATTATATATATAACTATATATTATCTTCTATTTTTTTATTTAAAAAAATTTATCAAGACATTTGCTATAATACAAAAAAAAAAAAAAAACAGAATGATGTATTTACAGATGTAAATCGTGAGAATCCGTGTATCACGTAAAAAACACATCAGATACTTCAACGTGGACATATTAATGCCTGCACGTTGTAAACTGTCGAGGTCAGCCTCTTCGTCGTGCAAAGTAAACGGAGCGAGAATTCTAGCTCGACGAAGGGGCATGAGACACTAGGAACGTGCCGCTTCAGGTAGAAAAGATGAGGAAAGGAACGGCACAGCGTTGAGAGAAGGACAGAAAAGAGAATGGAAAAGGTGGCAAATACGTGAGAGCGCTGATGAGTGGTGCGAAGCTGTACTTCACCACCACCAGGCCGATCATTCGTATAATCGTTCTTAGCGAGCTTGTTCTCTGTCGTTTTCTTAAAGTCGACAATCGAGACCTCCCGAAGTTTTCACTTTCTTGTGCAGCAGCGACTTAAATACATAAATTCTGAAATTAAATTAAACATTTAATTTAATTAAATTGAATATTTTTCACAATAAAAGAAGTTCAATTATGACACACTTCTAAAGAGAAAGAGAGAGAGATTAAAACTGTGACCTATATCGTAAATTAAATATTATCAGGCTTCAAACACACGAAAGTTTAACCGTACGAATGAAACATGCGGAGAAGCTTGCTTTAAAACTATTGATTTTTAAACCATGTTGAACATCAATGTTTGTATCACGTACCAGCGCGGAGAGAGATCTAATATATATCGGTCGGTTCTCTATATAGTCGGTGTCTGTACGCGAAGAACAAGGGTTTACTTGAACGGTAAACTTTTATAAAAAAGCGAGATCGATAAGAGAGCCGAGATGAACCTAAACAATGCTTGAGAAGAAATCGCAATGAGAGAAAATCACTCGGGGAGGAAGAAGAAAATTCTTCCGTTGTCCATGAAGGTGTATTTATCTCCTCAAAGTGGTGTAGTATGTAATGTGAAGCGCTCCGCACTACAAACTTGCATCTTGTGAATTGGGTGTTCAATTTTTTCTCGACTGCAAGACAGATTTATAAAAGAAAACTAATTATAAATAACTACTTTTTTTTAATTAAATTGCGATATTGAATATGAAATTAGATTATTGAGATTTTTTGTTTATATACGGAGAAGTATCTGTGTATACGTATGTGTAAAGATGTAGATATTATTTGTTAGTATATGCCACGTGTCTACCCACGATATCAAATCACGTTGAATAGTAACGTATTAAAATGAAATCGATCTACGTTTTGCACAATACGACGGCGAATAATAATACACGGACTTATGCAAGGGAATAAAGAATAATAGCAAAACATAATGTCGCTCTTCCAGTCGCAATGGCTTTTACAATATGTTACACAGTAGTAGTCAAGTCTGTTACACATGTCGCAACATAAGACGTATGTGTCGCGTACATAAGTGAACATGTAGAGTTCTCTTCTCTTTAAGAGAAAATTCATAAAGAGAGTTATTCAACAGCTCTCAAACGGAATAATTTGCATATAATTTAATTAAGAAAAATCTAATATTATCAAGATGGAATATTTAACTCACTTAGAAAGAACAAACAGTAGTTAATGAATTTAAATATTTTCACTTAATCTTAAATGTGTCGGAAGAGAAAGAGAGAATTTTAAAATAAATCTCTGCAAAATTTTCAAAACAGTTTACTCATTTTATTCTGAGAAATTGAAACTTCTCTTCGTGCCCAATTTTATACATAAATATATCTTTACTGTTTTCTCGATAGCCGTTTATTGATATTTCTTTGGTCTTGCCGCAGCAAGAGATGCTTCCAGAAAAGAAAGAGAGAGAGAGAGAGAGAGAGAGAAAACAAGCCTCTATCCTTTCATTCGCTAATTATAGCCTCTGCCTTTGAAGAGTAACGGCACTTTTAAACCGGTGTAAAATTGAATAATCCGCCGAGGAGCAGAGCAACAAGAAGGGAATTACACGAGCGTCATTCTTTCCTGTATTTGCTAGTACTTTTAATTTCACATTCTTTAAATATGACCGGAAAATTATTCAATTATCTTAAAGAGATAATATATATTTTTCTCAAATTAATCAGCTATTTTTTTAGAAGCCTCGATTTACTACTCATTTTCAATGATACACATCTCTTGAAATACTTCTTTAATGCAACACGTAGAATTTCTCCTGATATTGCGGAACTCCAGCTCTCTTATTTTTCCGCTTTGCGCGTATATATTATCTTCTCACGATATAAAAGAACTTTCAGTGATAAATTCTTGCCATATAATATATTATACAAAAAAGCGAGCTTTACACTCTTTATATTATTTATTTTCTGCAACAACACAAATGTTTTACACGCGTGTTGCACATTGTACGCTAAATAACTTATCTGCAATGTTGATCAAGAATTTTTAATTACCTACAATCCTCATCCTTTATTTTTAAATAATTTAGTTTTAAATAATTCAAGAAAAATTATTTATATATTATTTTACACATTATAAGTTTACGCTGACTAAGTAAACTTGATTTTATTACCTGTACGCATCCGTCTACATTTGTTTCGTTTCTTTGCCGTGTTGTGTTGCTTCGAGCTCTAATGAAGAGCGAGCGTGTGGTTAGAACTGACATCATTTGAGTACCTGACGGCTATATCTAACCAATCGTTAGTCTCGTCTAGGATCCTGGAGAACAATCAAATGTTGTTACGTGACGCTCGATAAATTAGTTCAGCCTGATATAGACTGACTTTCGTTACAACGTAGGAACAATGCACTAATATAGATTCGACATATACTGTCACATTAAATGTTTGATAGATTCTCAAGTGTAAATACTTGAAATATTCGTAAGTCGAAGTAAGATAAGGCAACAAATAAAGAATAGAACGTTTTATAAGTAAATATTTTTTACATGACAAATTCGATAATTGTTATATACATACTGATTATATATTTTTCTATGTGTTTCAGAATGCTTATCTGTTCTCTGCTTTTACTAGCAATCTCGATTACTTCGTCGTTTGCGGAAGAATCATCTGCCAATGATGCAGCGTCCGCGAAACGAGCGCCCATGGGGTTTCAGGGAATGCGGGGAAAAAAGGATCTATCTGCGTCTTCGGAACGTGATGAGCTTTCTAAAACAGACTTATTGGATGTTCAGGTCAGACATTTCTTATTAAAATTAATTCGGTCAAACGATTGAAAAATAAGAAAAAAGAGAAACTTTAAGAGTTTTACAATCAAATCTCCTAACAAAAAAAATCCAAAAGAAAAGAACCTCAACAGTTACGCCTCACATTACGCTTATTATCTTCACTTATAGCAATTTGTCTCCGCATCTTTCTCTTGAGTGAACTCACGATTAGAAAAGTGAGAGAACTGTTGAGAAGTTCGACTTTATATTCTTTTGAACTATTAAGGAAAAAGCTTGTTGTGTAATGTTTACAGCCCACGCAAGATAAAGATGATTTAAACAATCTCGAAGACAATCTTTTCTTACACGACGAATTCGAAAAACGAGTACCGATGGGGTTTCAAGGTATGAGAGGAAAAAAGGATTATTTTATGCCCGATTTCGAAGATTCTTACGTTCGTGAAGATTATGAGAAGAGAGCACCGATGGGATTTCAAGGGATGAGGGGAAAGAAATCACTGGAAGAGGTAAATGCTAAATACTTTAAATAAGCAAAGAAACAATTTTGCATTGGTAAGTTTAAAATTGTTCAAACTGTGTTTGTGCGTTTACTTTTTATATACGCGTTTTCTCTACCACGCGTTTATTCTACTTTAACCAAATATCAATAAAATTTGCACAAGCAGATACTGAGAGAAATTGAAAAGAAGGCTGCGATAAGCTTTCACGACACGAGGGAGAAAAAGCCGTACGCTTACAGCTATCCGCAAGGTTACGAAAAAAGACTTTTTGAAATGAATTTCCAAGGTGCGCGCAGCAGCAAAGAAGAACTTCCGGCGGATTGGGAGAAGAGAGCTCCCATGGGATTTCAAGGAATGAGGGGCAAGAAAGCGCTGCTCGAAGAACTCGAAAAACGTGCTGTCATGGGTTTTCAGGTGTGCTGCTTTATCAGATTCGGAAAATCTCTATACATATATATTCAATAAGTAGAGAACAAAAAAAATATATACTTATAATAAACGAAATGAACAATCTACTTTCAATAAGCGTGAGTATAAAAATATTTGGAGAAATTGTGTTGATCGTATTAATTATCGCTTTAGGGCATGAGAGGCAAAAAAGACACTTTTGAAAATTATGTGGATTATTACATGGAACCTTCGAGCTTGGATAAAAGAGCATTGATGAGTTTTCAAGGTATGAGAGGAAAAAAAGACTATGACAAAAGAGCGCCAATGGGTTTCCAAGGAATGAGAGGCAAGAGGAATGGTGGACCGAGATTTGCGACCGGCATGGACTTCGAGCCGCGATTATCGAACGAATTTCAAGGTATCAATGCTATTCGTAATGTAACTCGAAATACTTGCGAAACACCTGAATAATGCCAATTAAAATTGCACTTCACACATCAATATTATTTTCATATAAAAGAACCAGCAGGAATGTCAGGAGTTTTCCTTATTGTGCGTAAGAGGCTTTTGAAAAGTTATAAAAGCTTTGTTTTCATATAACAAAATTAAAATAAGACATTGTACATGTCAAATTTTATTTTAACAAGCGGTGAGATAAGAGACAGTTGCTTTTATCTTTTTGATGAGAAATATTTGTTTCCCGTCGCATCTGAAAATTTGATATATATTCTGCAAAAATAGTTTTTTTTGAATACTTCTCGTAATGGACCGATAATCAAATAAGTTCATTTCTAATGCAAAGAACACGAAACAAAAGCTCTTCCAAATTTTTGTCTTATTATTCATTCACATCGGATAAGCTCAATGTTAAAGTAGCGGACGATATTTTTATTATTTTCTTTTGTGCCGCCCCACCACATATTTGCCGTACGAATTTAAAGTTTGGAAAGTGGTCCGACACATTTTGTATTTTCCTCCTGAGCAGGAATGGGCGAAAGCAGAAGAAATGCTCTAGCCCCGTGCCAGGTCGAAAAGCGATCACCCATGCGATATTTCGAGATACGCGGTAAGAAAATTCCACGATGGGAGTTACGGGGGATGTTTGTGGGGGTGAGAGGCAAAAAATGGGCGACAGCCCCGTACAAGGACGACAGCCCGTACGTAAACGTGTTCGATAACATCGAAAGGATCGCCGCGGATGGAGATTCGCCGGCAACATTAGGTAAATTCGATCGGCTGAGCACATAGCCGATGACCAAGTCGTTATCGAAAACTCACACCCGCGATTCTTTCGACGCTTTCGTTCTATATATTCTTTTCCTATCTAATGGCTGATTGATTGTGCTTCTTTAATGTTTTATCAAGCAAATTTTATCGGGCACGATTTGTTTGACAAAGAAAAAGGAAAGAAACCTAATTCGTGTGTTGTCTTTTTTCTCAAAAAACACGATAATAATGTTTTTTATCACTTCAACAAATATTATTTTTATAAAATGCTTATACCTATATTGTAATATTATATATTTTCTCATATTGTTTTTTCATCTTGCATGTGTGACACTTCACAGACATTTAAGTACTTTTCTAATACTCAAAGTGTTCTCTGCCGCAATATTTATCGATACACTTCACTTCCTGCTGATAAAGCCGCCGCTTATATATTTACGCTCTTCTCTTCTATTCTCTGTTCTTCTTCTCTTAACATTTATCAACATTTTTAAAATTATCCGTTTACGAATTATTCCGCGCTATTGATGCGGTGAAAATATTTTTCCTTGCATACGGGTGTCAAGTGACATTTAAAACAAAGCTGCGGATTATCTACGTGGCAACTGCGAAGAGAACAATAACGGCGCGCAGAAGGTTCGTTTTAAAAAGTTTTTCTCGAGGTACACATTGTCGTCGAAACACGCTCTCTGCTCGCTACACTTGCACGAAATACCGATAAACAATTCTACGTTTCCACTATACCTTTAGGTGACAGTTCGTGAAACTGATTTACCGGGTCCAATTATTTCTACGCACGACTCAAAATTCTAAGTTTGTACTACTGAAATCGAATTCTGTGATTCTCCAATCTTTCTGTTTAGCTTATTTTAGTAAAAAAAAGCTTCAACACGCCAAGTGTAAAATATATAAGTGTAAAAAATTTCTGAGACTGCACATAACTCTTTATATTGATGTCACAGGATGTTGTATATATTATCGTTATATCTCTTTCATATGTATGTGTATGAATATATAATGCATAAATTTCTACTTTTTATAATTCTGTAAATTTTTATTGTGTAACGGTAAATATAAATTACGTAAGCAAGATAACTGAGTTACGTTACTGAACAAATTTACTAAGTCATTCTTTATTGTCCTTACAATAAAAGTTACTATTAGAATTAAATTTGTTCTCAAAAGTTCTCAAGAATTATATAAAGTTATAACATTAAGTGAAAATAAAATGTATCATCAGCTTTTTTACAAAGATCTAAAATAATCATTAACGTTATTTCCTGTTTTATGTTTCAGATTCACAATAATGCTACAGTCAATAGAAAGCTGTCTCCTCAAAATAAGTAAACCGATGTAGCTGAATCTAAAACTGAAGAGAGATAAACGCGCGTTTATCAGTTACGATAACAGATGTAAAACTAAACTATTGTCTGTTAATTTATCAGTTAAATTCTATTAATTAATGATTTGTTATTTTACATATCACGTAGACTAATATAGGCCGTATCGTATTGTATTTTGCAATATAATTAGCGAGATTCAAGCCGGAAAAATGTATCTTTTGCCACACTTTACGATGATTGTTACATGCCAGCGAAGTCTTTCAAAATGCCTATATCAGTATTATTGTTATTTCGTACAGAGTGACTTATAAAAAATAAACAATAAATAATAATGACGTATATTTTTAAAAGAATTTGAGAAAAAGACTATTTCTTAACAAAAATTATACATTAAACTCTATTCTGTTCAAGAAGTCTTTTAACAATACTTATATTGGCAAAATTAAATGACGGACTAATTTTTGCGCTAAAAGTACTAAACTTATTGACTCTCAATTAGTAATCTGCAAAACGCAAGACTTTATCTATTTAAATGTTAAATTAGTTTTATCTGAAATATTTAAATCATTATCTATAAATAGTAAACAACTCTGTATTATATAACATATCATGTAATTTCAAAGTTAAGAAAAAGTCGACTCAAGATTTGCAAAAAAAATGTATTTGTGTTATTAAGTTTTAATAAAACACTCTGTAAATTTATGAGACAGAATTTATATATTCTATTTTTGATTTAGAAATACACGTATATAACGGCGCGGTATAATAAAGTAATTTCACGTCCTCAAATTCGAGAAATAAAAAATATCAAGAAAAGCAGGTATAAGCTAAGATTGAATAATGTTATAAATATATCTTTAGCATATTATATATTATATACGTTTCTTCGCGTGAGACATATAGATAAGAATTATATTTTTCTCTGAATGTATATGTTAATCAAGAATTTTATTGTAGATACAATGTGTTTTACGTTTTATTACTTATTCAAATGTTTTTGTTTTCATCTTTAAACAAAACATAAAATTAAAAAGAAAAATTAACAAATTTTTAGTCACAGTTTTTATGAGAGAATAAAACTAATTTCAATCCTGTTGTAAAACAAACATGTTCAGTTTCTTTTAATGATCTTTTTATACATCTTTTCGTTAAATTTAATAATGTTATAAAAAATAATGTATTGCACGTAATAAATTCTTGTTGAAAACTTTTAGCTTTACTAATTTTACTTACGCTGTTTGTAAGATTTATGTTGCCTTATCTGTGTGTTTCTATAATATTTTATTACGGAATAATAACTTTGCTTTATAAATTTATATAATGTTTCAGTTGTTTCCTCTTGTTTAGTTATTATATTTTATAAATTCAAGCATTTTAATTAACCACTTTAATTAAATACATACATATAATTGATTAATACTGATACACATATTGTTATGTGTATTGTTAGTCTGTTCGCCATACAAATCAAATGAGAACATCTGGAAAACTTATAAAACTAACAATTGCAAATTGCACATTTTGATTGTAAATTAGTATGAATAATACGTAACAAATGGCTGTCATGATAAATGATTTTACAACTATATATATATGTATGTTTTCCAAATATAAGTAAATACATACGACTATTCACACAGATTTGCTAAATAAAATTATATTCAAATAAAAACATATATAAGAAAATGATGTTTACAGAAATAATAAAGAATCTACACTCGGAAGAAATTTCTCGTTTGTAAATCGTTTGATGTATAAATTTCTCGTTCTTCTTTATATTCAAAAGATATATTCTCTTTCTGATGCTACTTTAAAACATTCATGTTAAAAGACGTAAAAATAATTCACAAACAAATGTAATTAAAACTTTTACTATATATCTCGATGTATTATGTAGATACAAAATACATATCTATGTATTTCAGTGCTATTCTATATGTATACAATTAAACGTAATAAAGATAAACTCACATTATTGTTTTTTTGTTTTTAATTAATGTTGGTCTATATTTAATGCTGTTTTGATTGATCCTAATCTTAAAAAGTTTAAATTTTTTTATACAAAAACCTATATTTACTTTGACTAAAAGAAACAGAATGTTATACAAATTTACATATATCTGTGTATGATCAATATACCAATTCACAGAGAAAGTTTATCGATTAAAGGTATGTACGAAAACATTTGAACAAATTTAGCCAATTGAGGTAAGATAGCTAAGCTATCTTATCGACTGGAAATGTCACATTCCTAACCTGTTCAGTGTGTGCAAATGTCAATTCGTGCCATCGTCCGCACATTGATGTTTATCTCAGGTAACTTTTATTTTACATAATTCTTCTTAAGTAAATATTGTATTATACATCATAGAACATAAAAATATCTATAATACATGATTTTCAACTGGATTCTCGTCTCGAAAACTTTATTTCTACATAGGTTATATTTTCCAAGCTTTGTACAAAATATATTAAAGCAATTAATATAAACTGTGAATTATACAACTTTAAATTGAAGAGATTATAAAAAGAGTTTCTCCCAAAAATGTTTACGTTTTACAGTATACACATTATATTCATTTTGTTAAAAATACAGATTACCGTATTTGCATTATAACCAAAATATAGCGCGTTACCATGACAAAAGATATTTTTGATACAACATCTTGTATCTCGTATACAGTGTGTTACATAAATTGGAAATATTTTGCGCATTTTCAATTCCCTAACCTTATTGTTTCACATCCCTTTCGAGTGAATTGATGTTCTTTCTTTGCAGCGGCTGTCTCAGAAAACTATCTAGCTTCATCCGCTTTCCCCTACCTACGTAGAAGGGTTCCTCTTCTGCGAAAATGTCATCGAGTGCACCACGCCGGTCTCTCCTGTCTACTAATTTGCTCGCATCAATGTCACATTCGTTGCTGTTATTACACCTCTTCATCAGCAACATTTGCAAAAGACTTCTCGCTAGCGGAAATCTCATCATTTTGATATTATTACGTGACTGAAACATCGAGTAGGGATCGTTTTCAAATTTCGATGCTTTCTTTCCGCGGGAAATGACGAACGAAGGCTCGATCAGTTTGTTCAGGAACTCGCTAGTCTTGTCCCTTCTCTCTAAGGCCAGCGTGTCTTGAATCTCCTCTCCGAAACTCTTCAGCAGCCACTGATCCGGCAGCTGCGGTTCGGTCTTGCAGACCGGACTCTTGCAAGCGTCACGCTTCTCCCGATGATTCGGATCAATATTTTTTCCCGAGATTTTCGCACTTATGTGTGTTAATTGCGAATCTGTCTTTTCAGTGGTGCTTTTTTCAATTTCCAATATGGACCTTTTGTTTTTGTTTTCTCTCTTGCTCTCCGATGTTTCGGAATACGTATTTTTCCACGGTTTTTCATAAGTGGATTCTCTGTAACTTGCAGATTTTTTATTCAAGTTTTCTGTTCTGTTGTCAAATGTGTGTTTCCCGTGGGACAAAATAAAAGAGTCATCGTACGCGTTACGTAAATCGTCCAGCTTATCGTAAATTTTTTCCATCATTTGTTCGAACACGTATGTTTCGTTCCTTTTGACACCTTCCTCGGACTTCATCGAGTCGAGTTCGTAAGTTCTGTTTTTCTCATAGGCCTCAGAAAATTGTTTGCTTTTCAATGACGTTGATCGTTTATTACGTTTATTCGTGTTATTGGCAAAGTTATCTTTCTTACGTTTTGTACCGTGATCGATACTTTGAAAAAAGCCATAGTGATTTATCTTCTCTTTTCGATTGTTTTTTTGGTCAACCGCGTTGCTCCGAAAGTTCTCACTCGTCTCAACGAATCTTTTCGCTCGATATTTCGTGGACGATCGTTTGTTTCTGCTCAGATAATCGAAAAATTCTTCGTTATCCTCGATTAGTTTGTCCATTTGTTTCGGATCTTTGAGTCTGAAAATCTTCTTGCCTCGCGACAATATGTAAGGATCGGCATCGTCCAGACGTCGAGTCGTACCGTCTATGTATTCGGGATCTATCGAGATCCATTTCGGTTCTTCGACATAAAACGGTTTCTGAATCTGCCAGCTGTGATTGTGTTTGCGATGACCTTTCTTCATCGAGCAGTCTTCCTTCGAACTGTCACCAGCTTTTGTTTCTTCTTCTTGTATGCCAATAGAAATTAAGATTGCCGGTTTAATTCGTTTTAATTTTGACTTGTCAAAAGGTAATAAATCGTCTTGTGAAAACTGCGTTGAATCAGATCGCCTGGAACATAGTTACATTTTTTGACATGTTATTACATATATTAATTTCAAACAATCTTTTAAACAAATTGCACAAATGTGTTTAGTTCTTATGAAGATTTAAGGGACGAAAAATCAGTACGTCTTCAAATATATGTTTGATCGTGTATTATTATAATATATACCTAATAATTGTTACTGGAAATTTTCTTGGCTCGCTAATGAATCGCGTCTCTAACATTCGAGAAAGCTGTTTGTCATCGTTGCGATTTAAAAATTCTTCTAGTTTGGAAGAAAAGTCGTTTTGTGGTGCTTGTTTCAGTTTCTTGCTCCAGAATTGATTGTTGCGAATCCATAATTCCTTTGATCTCGGATGATTTTCTAACTAAAACAAAGTATATAAAGTATATTTTTATACATAATACTGATACAAATTATGTGTACGAATTTTTTTAATATTACTGGTTGTTTGCTCAAATAATTTATCAAAATCAATACAACTCTTCAAAATGATCTGTTGCTTTTATAACTTTTATAATAATTGTAATATAGTATATAGTGTTTTTATAGATTATAATATAAAAAAATGCTATATTTTACTTACTAAAATATTTTCACACATCACTATCGATAGCAGGGTTGTGGCTAACAATATTTTCCTCATTGCTGCAAAAAGAGTTTTTGCAGTTTTAGAGATTATTTAATAAGTGTTTGGAAAACGCTTATTGTCTACTATAATAATCGTTTATTTAATTAACTGATATGAGAGTATCGACACTTGTAGTTTAGAAATTCAATTTTGTCATCTGTTTCATTAACACGTATAGAAAAAAAAAAAAAACTACGTTTTGGGAGAACGCTTTATTATATTTTGTTGATGACGTCAGCACTTAGCACGAAAGTAAAGATATTCGATCATGATATACAGCTTTTAATGTAATTGTTATCTTCCCGGCTTTTTTTTTACACACGCCAAAAGAAATAATGTCTTTATTAGTCAACAATTCTTGAAAAAATTGCTTCAGGAAAAAGTTAAAACTTTTTAACTCAATCACGGTTGCGTTTATCGTGACTTGTAGACTACGAAACAGAACACAAAATTACTGGTTCCTAACTCACTTTGTCAGACACCTCTCTCGTACCTGTTGCGGCCGCCGCGTTCACTTGATGACAAATATCCGACGTTCACAAGTTCTTCGGCAAAAATGGCGGTGAACCGGCTTTTTTCTCGTTATATATATTCTCCTGACCGAGGTTCCCGCGGGCCATCTCCGTCATGGACGAAGGATTAGGCGGATTGCATGGGGAATTCGTTCACCTGGTCACGGTGCCCCACGTCAATCTACTCCGCCAACGAGTGTAAACATCTTGACGTCCAATGTCGTCGTCATATAACGCTATGATGACTTATTGTTAGAAACGCTATCGGTGCGAGACGCAGATATCGTAACAGTAGCGCGACGAGAAAGTCTCGCTATGTTCTCCAACCCCGTGGGGTTGTCCTGCGTAGGTGGACCTCGCAAGAGTAGCGTGATTGACTTATTGTAAATCATTCTACGAGGTTGTACGGGAGCTGAGAGCTCAGTGGTAAAGTTTAATGAAGTTAATTAATCATTTCAGTTGAAGAGTGTATGCGATCAATCAACATGATTCCGGGCTTCAATAAACTAAAATTTTCAACACATTTTTGCAAAAAGATTTATGTCGCGACAGATAATAAACATAACAACGATATTTTATACATCGTTTCCTTATATCTAATATGCCTTTATCTTCAATTATTTTATTATTTATTCAACCACAATATTTCTTTTTATTTATATAAATTATACGATTGTTATAATAACAATAAGATGTTGATAAAACATTCTTTTTAGGTGAGACAAACGAAGCGAACGTAAAATAGAAAATTAATCAAAATGGTAAGATATGACTCTTATAAAATTTATTAATTTATGAAATTATGTTATAACTTAACATTGTATACACTGAAATATTTTACAAAAAATATTTTAAATGCGTTTTATAAATTATGTGTGTTCAATTTTATATTATCTTCAAACATCGCAATTCTATTTTACATCAGAGATTCAGATTTCTTGGCGATGGCGATTGTCCAGATTGGTTATTGGCGGAAATCAACACTCTCTCGAGAATGGTATTTCTACGCTATATATTTTATCTGTATATTTTCTACTATAATATTTTTAAATTTAATATTTATATAAACAAAAAGAGACATTATCAGTTTTAAAAACTACTGATATATTTTTTTCGTAGACCTCGATTAAAATGAAAATGTTAGGTCAAGCAGTGACTAAATATTTAACCGAAGGAGAACTCGATGTAAGTACAAAGTATGTTTTTTTTATTTGTAGTTTAGACTTCATGCATTCTTAAATGCGATCACTTTATTGTAATTTACATAAAATCGAAGTTAAAGAAAACGTGCTTTTTTCAAAATGTTGTAACCGACGCAATTTCTTGACAAAGTTATATCAAACATAGTTTATTTGTCTAATTACTATATACAAGAAAATATGTAGCTGCCACGTTTTTCGACTTTATGTGCATATATTATATTTTTCATATTGATTATATACTCCGATTTAATTTCATAATTGCACTAAACTCACCATTTTTTTAGGAGGAAAAAGTAAAAAAGATTACACAAGATGCTAAACTTGGTGCGTGTAATTTAGTGTATTATTATTATTGTTGTGTTGTTATTATTATTAGTATTATTATTATTGTCATTATTATTATTATTATTATTATTATTATTATTATTATTATTAAGCTATAACTAAAGATGTATATAGTTGGTAGATATGAAAAGGATACACAGAAATGTTCTTTATTTCTTAGATGTCAGTGATGCAAAAGCTATGGTAGCCGCTCTCGAATTGATTTTCACATCTTCCGCTCGATACGGAGTTTCCGCTGCTGACTTGAGCAGCGAATTGCAACAATTGGGACTTCCACGGGAGCACAGCACAGCCGTAGCAAGGCTTCACACAGATCACTGTCCTCAAATTACGGCTGTTCTTTCATCTCAATCTTTGAGAGGTAATCAATCTTCACATATTTATAAAACTAAAAAATATCATTTTATTACAGCATTTATATCGCGCGCGCGTCAAAATTACTTAAAGAAATTTAACTTAATTTCATAGTTTTCTATATTACTCATGTTTTTTTAATTATTGTATCTGATTAATATCTTTTGATGCCAAGTAGATCTCGATTTGTGTACAATTTACTTTTTTCTTCACATAGTCAGTCGTTTATCTTCCATTGAAGTGCTACCTTGCGATAGCACTTTGCCTGTTTCTACTGTGACGTTAAAGTTTAAGAAAATAGATGGCAATGAAGAAGACACTACTATAAATATTTCGAAAGATGATGTGCAAATGTTATTGAAAGGTAATAAATACAATTTAAAAATTGCACAGAAAAAATTAGTTATATAATTTTACTATAAAGCATTACAGTTGTGATTTTTTTTCAGAACTGAAAAGGGCACGAACGCTAATGGAAAATTTATAAACTTTTTTTTAATAAAATTATATACATAAATCTGCATAATCCCATATAAGATTCTATAATTATTGTAATATTATATATGTGTATATATTTTAGAATATATATTCATCAATATAAAATATTTGCTATTTTTTTGTTTATTAATTAATTAAATAATTTCAAAAGAGTTTTTTTTATAGGAGAAACTAAGAAATCTTATTCTTTAAAATCTTCCTCTTTATTTTCTTATTCTTATTCTTGCAATATTAATTAAGGAGCATGAAATCGAATCAGAAACTGTTCATCGAATAATTTATTTTTATTCTCTTAGTAAATGAATATACAAAGTTTACATTTAGTTTACTGGTTTATACGATGCATTGAATAATATTGATACGTTGTGAGACGATAATAATGTCGCTGTTAATAATCGCGCATATCATTTTTTTTCTCTGCCTTTGTTGCGTTCATATGTATTCGAGCACGATGGTATCAAAACTATATCGAGTAGAAAATGGTTTTAAGCATCAAAACCAAAATTCGCACGAAGAATTACGTGCATATTCGAAATGTATCACACAGTGAATCTCCGCTTTTACATCGTCAGCCTTCGTTCTCTCGGTTTTCTCAATTCGTACGCAGTGGCTTGTACTTGATTATATTCGCGCGGCCGAAATCGGTGATACAAGTTGCAAACAAGAATAAGAACATTTCTCAGGATAAAATTGTAGGCCATAGGTTTTTCGAGAATAGATTGAAATATTACACAAAGTCATATTATACACTTTAGATACGCGTAGAAAATGAAAGCAACAAAACAGACATTTTTTGAGCTCGAACATCAACAAATCAAGGGAACCGTATATCGGATATCGTAAGTTTTTTTGTTTTTGTTTAACAAAACGTGAAGTTTTTCCGGGATAGTGTACAGGTTTTGGCATCGTGCTCCGTTTAATATTTAGGGCGCGCAAAAGCGATAGCGTTTAATTATTAAATTCGAATAAATACCAAGGCTAATCTAATCAGTCTTTATACAGTTATTCGTACACATTCGCTGTATATGTATCCGCGTCTCGCTCGCGCTCTCACATACGCATACATACGCACTTTTCTCTCTCTCTCTCTCTTTCTCTCATCACTCGACGCGATTCTTAATTATGTACAATAAATCCGGAGGAGCTGTTCGATAATGACACATCGATTGAAGCGCTCTTCCACGATTATACATACATTTCTTGGGACGCGATTCTTTGGAGGGCTCTGACCGGCTCAATTTTCTTTTGGTTCTCCCGCTGAGGTGGAATTAGGATTTTTGCGCAATCAATGATCAAATAAAAAAACAATTAATTAGCCAATTTCTCTTGGATCTTGGTGTCATGACATTGCCTTCGCGACCTTAACCCTCTAGAAACAACTGATAAAAAGTTAGTTGTTAAAATAAACCAATTAGAATTTTATATACTTGTTGATCATCTGTAATTTTTATTGCATTTTTCCTTTTTTTATTTTGCTTAATATTTTCTATGTGTGAAAGAAAATCTAAGATAATAAAAGTAATATCCAATTACTATAATAAATTTTGCAATTATTCTCTTCCTCTTATCGGTTTTTGTGAGTGTTTTGGGAGTGTTACTTTCTTTATCACAATGTGTGATAATCTCACACGCAAAATTAGCAACATAATATAATTTACAGAATAATGAATCTTAGAGATTGTTTCTTTCGCCGACGGGTTAAGGTAAACGAGCAAATCAGGACTGCGTGTCATAGCGAGATCTTGCTCTTTTGCTCCCGAAACGCCTCCGGTGCGGAGCCTTCCGTGACTGTCTACGATCACCTACATCTAGGTTCTAGCCGGATCTAAAACGAATTAGAGTACACACAGTCGTTCTGGCATTAGACGGTAAAAAAATATTTTTGCGAGAGAGTTCTTGTATTATCATTGCCGCGCTTTTCTCGCAATTACTACGTGATTTTTTAAACGCACGCAAATATATAACGAAGCAAAAATCGTCAAGAACGGGTCAAGCATCTCTCTCTGTAAAACATTTCGATGCAGATATGTACAACAGCAATAATTAAATTTGTGATTCATGAGAAAAAAGTAATGCTTAAAATATAAATTATATCTCAAAATTAACTTTCTGTTTAATTATAAAAAAAAATTTAATAATTTATTGTTTCAGCAACGTTTTTCTATTTTAACAATGCAAAGTGGCAGTAAAGAAAAATACGATTTCTAGAGTTTTTTTATTATTTAAAGTTTTTAATTGATACTAAAAGCTAGAAGATAATGTGTTTTCTCAATTAATGATATCGAGATGCATGCCCCATTACTTTTCTCGACAATTATATACTATTTTCTATGATGGTCGTCGCGATTACGCCGAAGCAATATCCGCCATTCATGGTGCAGTTATCAAAAGATAGATTTTCTTCTTTGTGCCATTCTCTATTGCTGCTGTGTGCATTTTTTTTCTTTTAATTGTATCAAGGGCGTTTGCAACGGCGCGATCAAGGAATATATTGATTGTGTACATACACAAGTTTGCACTATCGGGAATCTCTTTGTTACACTGCAATAAATCAGTTAATCGAAATAATTATTTGATTACTTTATACAGATAATTTGATATAGAAAAAATCAGAAACTTTAGTTGTTTTACATGAATTTAAAAACCTATACTATATATATTATATTAGTTGTTTTACATGAATATAAAAAACCTACTTGAAAGATAAATGAAATATAATTTTAAATTTATATAAAACTTTATTTTGAAATTTACGTTATTTGAAAAGAAAAGAAGAAAATATATTATAAAGTATAATTAAACCAGCTTTAATATTACACAATTTTAAATTTAAATCGTAACAAGTTTGGAATAGAAATAATAATATACGTTGCGACACAAAGATTTCTCGATAACGCAAGCACAGTTTTGTGGAAGAAAATGTCTTGCCGAAGCACATTTGCGTTGAGAAAAATACGTGATTCTACTCTAGCGTTAAGTACCTACGTCGAAACGGAATCAAGAATAAGAGAACAATGCTGAGCTATATAAGGGCACTACGATCAAAAAGAGAGAAGTACATTATAGATCCTTCGAAAGTTAGATTCCAAAAACTTTCTCTTTTTTCTACAAGCTTATTGAAAATAGCGCATTAAAAATATGTTCATACTGTGTGTGTCGGATATTATTAGAGCTCATTGATCATTAAGAAGTCTGGTCCAGCCCTTGATCGATTTATTCGTGTGATCTATTGCTTGAATAATCTCTTCGAAAAATGTCTTCGCGAAATTGCATGGTCCTTGCGAGATGATATGTACGATCGGCAATTTGACAAAAGCGTCCGATAAATCGTATAAAAGTATCTTGCCGCTCGTGATCAATAGGTCGATCTCTTTTTTGTTGCTTTTCACATCTTACAAGACAATTAAATACATTATTCCTGCTTAATGAAGTCTATTGGAACCAAAATTGTCAACTCTGTTTCACAACACGCGAATCGATATCTTGTAAATATAAGCCATCGATATAAGATCGTATGAGAATATTTCAATGTCACTAATTTATCGTAGAAAGATATCCTTGAGACGTATAGTATAGATATACCAAGATCAACCATATTACAACCCACTAGATTTGCACTCGTATTTGCTCATCACAGTTCCTCTCGTATAAATGGAAAATACAGAAATTTATTCAAAGAACCTTTTACGAGATTTTGAGATAGAGCTTAACATTAACACTTTTTTCATGCTCGTGTAACAACTTGTAAACAGAAGTATTCTTCTACGGAACAAGGCTGAGAACACTGCTATTTTCTAGTATATAACTGGAAGATATTGAAAAATACAGATATTTGTGATTTTTTTTTTACACATATTGCATTGTCTCGTGAGAAATACGAGTTCTGGACAATGTTTTAAGAACGCTCGTATTTTTTATTGTTATGATCAGTTTTTTTTTTGTTGAGAAATATATGTTTTTTAATTGCAAACAGTCACATGTCATACATTCGTAATAATACTATTTGCTATCGTGTGTTTGTGGGTTTTGACATTATGATAATTACAAAAGATTTCATCAAATAAATGTTAAGTTTTTTTCACAATTGCTTTGAAAGATATTTACGTACAATTTTAATATAAAGTTGATAAAACCGTACTATATAACGTATTTGAAAATAATAATAACATCGACTTTAGAAAAGTTGCTGCAAATTGGCGTGAGTCAGTTGAACAAACATACAAAGCAGTAGATTCTTGCGTCAAAAAACGCTTTTTTGTTTACGCAAATCACATCGAATATTAGATTATTTTGATTTTAATTAAATTTAATGCATAATTTTGTCTGAATTCAACTTACGTTTAGAGTTTCACGTGTCCCTCTGCTTAGCCCGTCGCAATCTAATAAACAGTTCAATTAATCGCCAACTCATTAAATGCGATCGAGTCTATTTTTGATAAAAAATAAACTTGATCATATCGTTTCACAATTAATTGTGCGAATCATTGACATTATTATTGATGTGATAATTTTGTAACATACTTGGCGGACAAAATCTGTCAATTTGCAGTACTGAGTTCGGATACAATTGTTCCGGAAGAACAATCGGAAAAGCAGAAAAGATGAAACAAAAACGTTGCGTCATGTTAATTATGTACAGCAATATCTGTTATTTTAGTTAGATTGCGAGAAAGACTTTGTGATGCATATTCGCGAGACCAGTCTACATCATCACGCGTCTCATAAAGTGAAATATATATATATAGTCGCGAAAGAACGCGACTTAGCAAACGCATGCTATTTTTACGTACGTACCGATAGCATACGCGCAAGTAAATGTTAGGTACGAGTAAACGATTACACGTTGATTATTCATATTTATGAAAGGACGAAATAACAATGGCAGTTGACAAAATTAAGTTAATAATAGAGATCTGTAGATCTTCACGATTGAGTGGCAGTAATCATTTCTTAGGAGTCCCACGTGTGATGGATCTGTCTTTCTCTTGTTACGCTAACGACTTTTCTCTGTATATATATATATATATGTATTTGCAAGTTAAATAAATACTCGTTGTATCGTTTATTATTATTTCAATCAATATGAAGAGATGCATAGAAATTAAGGAGAAAAAGAAAAAAAGAATAAAATAAACACGTGCAAAAAACGCACGTGTTCTGTGTGACATTTCTTCTAAGAAAAAAAAAACAGAAACAAAACATCTTATTATAGAAATGCTGGGCACTTACAAATATAAATAAACGGCATATATTATCCTCGCAATAAATTGCTTTCCAGTACTTACTCACAGGTTAAATGCTATGAGTAATGTCTGGTTAGACGGAACTTTTCCGTTCCTATGATCTATGCTGATTGTATGCTTCTTTCTAAAATTTTCTCAATGGCACTATATAATATTGCATGTCTTACGATGCACGATTACCATAAGGCAGAAGTTTATGGTAGATCGTTCTCTGTCAGGCCGTACGAAGATTCAATGTAACGGTAAGTTTTCCAATATACCGCAAATCTCATCAAGGCCGAGAATCGTATGACTGCAATTTACGCTGCACTTTACAATAATGCATACAATAAAATCGCTCGTATTATCTCACACACATATGTGTAATATCTAAATAGTAAACGTAATACAATTAATAAAAGATTTTCCGAACACATGAACATTTTATCTCTATATGAAATAGGTCTATTAAAAAGAAAACAAAAAAAAACAAAGATCAAAACCGAATGATAAAAAAACCGTATCGCGTTTATTTGCATTTGTATATAATGCTCTTCTTCATTTTTTATCGCAATTGATTCGTTTGAGTTGCAGTATAAACAAATAATAATAATAAGTAATGTACAAACGCGCATATATCAAACACATAATTTACAATAATTGGTAGAAAAAAGATCTTATTATATGTATTAATATGAAAGCGTATGTTTACAAAACAAAACGGTTCGAGACTCCTTTTTCACATTTTCTCTTAACTATATATCCGACTATTCTTAACGTTCCACGCTATACACGAATTTTGGTTAGGACAACATGATAACTTTCCATACCTAAACTGGGATATACACATAACTATATTATTCTCACTCTCGTCAGCCGACAATTACTTTCGGCGTTTCACGCGACAAAGAGCTGATTTTCACCGTATTTCGCACATCTTCGTCTCGTGAGATAGAATGGAAATGAATTTTTTCTTAGCTAATAAGCACGCATATATCGGACACATATCGAAAAAAAACATTTGCGCAAACTCGAGTGGAGATGAATAATTCATACTTAAAGCATAATTTGATTTGCTTCTCTTTAAACTGTATTTTATCGTATGTGCAATTTACTTACTTATTATTAGGTGTGTGAGTTGTTACCACAAGATTTAGCAATATTCACCATAGTCAAGATGAAGATTTTTCGATTATTTATTTTTAGTAGCGTTTTACACTCTTTATATCACTAACCGTTTGAGAAATTCTTTGTTTTATTGCTCCACGAGTAGAAATTCGAGATTAAATAGGATCACGACATACAGGATATGTATATAACGCGGAATTGTGTTTTAATTTGAAGTAATTATTTCCATAAGTTATATATATATAATTTGTGGGATATATATAAATGTATATACCTTCCTTGCTCGTCATGTGTTCGCATCGACGCTTTCCTAATCACACTTATTCAAGTAAATGGAAGGTTTGCGTATATTAACGCGATTTTTTACTTGATAAACTATGTTGAGATCATGCACACGTTTATACAAATAATCAGATGAGCTAATCCGATCGACACAATTGGATCAGATCAGAATCATTGTAAAAAAATAGAAATAGCACGTATTACTATGGGGAATGCTATGTTTATACGCCAACAAACGCCAGAACAATGTGATATGTTATTTCATTCCATTTTTCTCATTTTTTCCTTTAAATATGTTGGCAATATGAGCAAGGGATATAAAATATGTGAAAGCTTTCTATGACGATTCTCATATCTGAATATGCGACACATTGATATGTGCTGCACTTCTTGATTCTAAAAATTTGTCGATTTAAAAGCCAACTATCCACAGCTCGTCTCGAGTTTGCACAAAAAAGCTTCTTCTTTTTACTTCCTTCCGCTCTGAAGAAATGGAGGAAAATCACGATCGCGTGCTTGGAAACTGCAATCCTCTCCACACAACGTCGTTAAAACGACTAAACATTATTACGTCATATCACCTAACACACAGACACACACGATTCGTGAACGTACTTTCGCACACGTACCATCTGATGTCTTACAGCAGCTTTTACATTTTAGTGAGGCAAACACGTATCGGAGTCCCCACTGCTGGCCATAGAGAAGTTGGCTGAGTCTCGATCGCTCTGCCTGATCTGCGCAGTGGCGGTGAGTTTGTTGTTGCTCGGCGGTGCCTGCGGGAAAGTGTGATGGCCCGGCAAGGCCCACGGCTGAGTATGTAACTGCACCGGAGGAAACCTCTTGACGAAAGGATTGCTGGGACCACCGGCGCTGTGGAGCAGTCTCACGCCGTTGTGATGCGACGGTAGCGTTGTGTGCGCCGGCATAGTTGAGTGAACTTGCGGTGGCACAAACGTATGTCGTGGTACGGATCCGCAACTGCCCGCAGAACCGCCACTCATGTTCGCCGCGGCTACGCTATGCGACGCGTGCGGCAGCGGCATCGTCGAGCAGTGTGGATAAGTGACAATAGGCTGCGTGGGATAATGTGGCAAGGTAGCCGAAGACGCCTGTATGCGAATATCGTTGCTCTCTGTAAAGGAGGTCATCCTCATGTTGGTGGAACGGCCAAACGGCTCTTCGTTCGGATTCAGCGGATCCGTGAGTTTTGTTCTCGAGAGTTTGCGACGAATCACTACTGTCGCTTCGTTCGGATTCTCCAGAATGACTGCAGGACAACCGGCGCCGATCTCACTTCCGGCGTTGCTATACGGCGGCACGTGATTTACATACTGCGGCGAGGAAAACGACTGGCTGGTGCTCGGGCGACTGTTCGGTGGCGAGAAGGTCGTGTTTGCCGTGGGCGGTAGCGTGCCCCGCTGTAGGGAGCAACTGCGCCATTGCTCGCGCGGTTCCTCGCGCGGTTCACCAGTCAGATCGTCCACGCTAGTCGCCCGACGTTGGCAGCTGCTATGACTGGCGTTACTGGCGTTACTGGCGTTACTATGCACGCCGCTTGATGTCTCGCTGTTGCTGCTGGTGTTGCTGTGCCCGATCACCGATCCAGCGCCGCCGTTGCCTCCCACTACATCCAGAGGCGGTGAGTTCGACGAGTCCGAACGAGGCGTCAGCTCGTCATGCGGCATCCCCGAATCTGCGCGACGTAGACATCGCGGCGTTTGTCCACCGTTCATCTGAAAACGTTTTATTCAAATCTAATATTGGTCCTGCAGGATTGTGCATGCAAAAATATTTACATAGCATGTACAAGTTCTTAAAACATACATTAAACTATTTTCGATAATGTGTTTTAATATTCTTTTTTTCAATTTTTTATAGTAATATAGATCACCATACAAAGATAATGTAGAATTGCATGCAGTCTTGAACATCGCAAAAAGCTCGTGAGATTGTCGATGCACAACTTCGTATAAAAACCAAATAAAATTAAGATGATTTGAAAAGATGGATCTAAACAAAATTCATTATCGCAATTTTATAGAGAATCGATGTGAAATATTCAGTGCAATGACAATTTCACATTTGTTATCTAGACGATGCGGTTAGTTCGCGATAAGGGTGTGTTAGTACCTGGACATTTGTAGTTAATGGCGCCGTGACTATATCAGTGGCGGGTACGGAGGTTGGAGTTGGAGGTGGCAGCGGAAGTGGTTCTTCCGTGGGATTGGGTAAAGGATCGGGCGTCAAGAGCGGTGAGGGATCACCCTCTGACGGTTGTAGATCGCGATTCGCACTCGCGTAGTAAGTCACTTGATCGTCGTTCACGCACTCGAGCAACTGCGTCAAAAGGCGCCGCCGTTAGTAAAAACAAGTGTTACTTCCACACGAAGTTAACTGATGCGCGCGCAAACATTAAGGCAAGGGAAAACAGAAAACATAATTTTGTATCTTACATTTCTGAATTTAGGTATACCGTCCCTACGAATTATCGGCCATCTTTGCCACTGTCAAGTGTAAAAAAAAAAATCTCAAAATTAAAAGTGGCAGGTAATATTGCTGCTAATTAAAATTAAATTATAAAAAATACTTATAGAAAAGAAAGAGTTAGTTCGAGAAATTGTTTTTATATAAATCAAGAAAACTAATAATATAGAATATACACGAGTACATAATTTACCTTATTTTCTTCAGAGGTAGAGTCATCGGCTGGATCTAATGAAGTAATTAGTGGTAATTCGCGTAATGTGGCGTAATCTCCGTCATCGTCAGGCCCGCCGTCAGCGACGCCTCGTCTGGTTTTTCCCTTATTACTACAAATAAAACATCGCCCTTAAAAGGCGTTCTGAAGAGAGGTTCCGTGCATATAATAATTGCAGAAGTTCAAAGAAAGACGGAAAGTTGGTGATAGGATAATTAAAGTGGATAAAGTATACATTTTGAGAACATGAAATGTATATGTACAGAGATAAATAGGAATTTATATAGAAGCTATACAATTTCGCTAACGCACGTACATAGTGATAACAAAATACTATAAGAGGCAGAATGTAATAGCTAGAAAAAATAGAAGCCATAAAAAAAAAATAGAACAGAATAACTTTGATACAGATAGTGCTTTGAACGAGACTTTCCAATATATAATAAATATATAAATATGTTGATTAATTCAATAAATATTTCTTCAAAGTACAGAGAAAAGAAAATAAATACTAGAAATTATAGTAACGAGCACGCAGCAGACAAGAGGCAGCAAGAAATATGGATAAAGCGCCGTTTGTATTACAAGTGCAATGCGGGTACGGTGATGAAAGCGCAGAAACAGATACACAAAGACACCAAGAGGAGGGAGGAGGGTAGTTACCGCGAGCCTGACGTACTAGGCAGGTCGTTAAAGGTGACCTTATGCTTGAGTTTCTTGTTCAGCCACCCCTTGTCGGACGTCGGTGCAGCGGCGTTATCGCTCGGGGATTGCGTGGGCGAGGGACGTAATTTCGGTCTAAGCCAGTAGATCTGTTCATCACCGTCAACCGTCGATTCGCCGTCGACTCCATCGACGTTTCCGCCTGCACCAAAAGTAGAAAAAGATAAATCGCTTTCCAGGTATTGGTCACGCATTTCAGTCTTCTCTTACCTTGCGATCGAGCCTTCCTTTCCATAGCAGCTTTTTGTATGACACTCATGATAGCCCTCTTTGGTGATGTATCGGCGATGGTATAAGTTCTGCCGTGACCGACGACGAGCAAAGGTGCGCTGGTGCCGTCATCGTCGTCCCTGGCCGACAGCAAATCGACATCGGTCACAAGTTTGACTGACCTGGCGGATCTCACGGTGGCGCGGCCGATGGTCACGCGAAGCTTGAACGTCCAGCGTTGCTTGATGGTGAGAAATATCCAGAGTAGCAGCCAGAGGAGAAGGTGGAGCACCGTGCCAATGATGCAGGCGAGGATGACGCCGTCCAAGCTGCCGCGGTACACTACGGTGTAATCGTAGAGCAACGGGACGCCGCAGATCGCGATCGCCAGAAACACGACCAGAGCAGCGCAGTGCGGCAGATAGACCCAACCGTTGCCTTCGCGACCTTCCCTCAACAGAATCACGCGACGTTCGCGTTCCTGATTCAGGAATGCCGTGAACCTGCACCATTTGCACGTCGCACAATCAGACACTCGTAATATCACTTGTTTACATCTGTTATATTTTAGAAGGTCTCGTAAGAGATAACGAGACCAAATTATTCTATCACGCTTCGAGTGCTTTGTTTAAACTGAAAAATAAACATCCTCTCGCCCTCTCTCTTTAATTTGGCGTTATTACTACGTGTCGACATAAATGATCCGAAGAATGTTAATTGATATTTCGCAAACGTTACGAGATTTCTCACATTACGAGAGAATTATTTGATTTTAATGAACAAAGTCAATGTTTCGTTATTTATATATGTGCTTTTGTATATATGTAAAATTTTTCAACTTGTTTTTTCATTTTGTCGCGCGCGTCTGTTATAAAAGAAAAACCTATTCTTTTAGGTTTTAAATTAAATTAAAATTGTGTGCTTATTTTTAAAGAGAAAAGAATAGAAAAGCCGGTAAGAGATACGTCGCGAGATACTGGCTGGGTTGTTAATTGCTATCCTTTGTTATGCGTTACGGAATGTCGAGAAAAGAGAATTTGAACGTTTTAAGGAAACCCATTGAGTTTTATACCGAATAATAATAGTATCGGAGAAAGAAGAGACAGCAGAGGGGAGATACGCTGTCTGTCTTATGCGTACAAGTGCTGTTTCAAATTAGCAAGTCAAATAAAAGCCGGATAAATGGAAAGTAAAAAATTATTGGGGAGAAGAGAGAGAAAAAGAGAGAGTCGTTGAATTCTTCGATAAAAATGTTTTTATACTTAATTATAAAGACCGAAGCGTGACATGGAGATGAAAAAAAGAGTGCTCATATGTACGCAAATGAATCTAAATGTATTTATAATGTTTTGGCACTTTCGAAACGGAGTGTAAAAATATTTCACGAAAAAATTAATCTGATAAGAATCTAATAAACGTAAAATTTTCGATCATCCACATATATTTTACCGAGAAAGGTAAGCTTATTTATTTATCCTTATCAGATAAGAACCGGATGGACTGGATAATTTTCTTTGCGAAAAAAGGAAGATCCGGCAAGTAATCTCTGCTGGGAGTTTAATCGATGAAATACGGGCTGAGTAAGCCCTCTGTGCATAACACGCTAAATATTTACCTGCCGTGAGCGTAGAAATACATGACCATGCTGGAGCAGAGCACGAGGAAGGACGAGAGGGCGAAGAGCACGAGAGTTACAGGGGGATTCAGCAGAAAGTAAGAGTCTCCGAATATTGTCGAGATTGTACTGGTCGTTGCTACGGTGCGATGCCGAAGAAACGGCAGGCCTTTTAAGGCACCTACCACTTGAACCTGAGAAACACATGTAAAACGAAAAAAGAATTAAAACAAATATTACGAATCTATGTAATAGATTTTGTAAAAGTAATCCAGCATTAAGAGAGACTATCTCTTTAAGTAATATGAAATCTCTACTTATAAAAAATATCAATTCTTTATATCACATTATATCCAAAAAAGGTAAACTTTCTTCAGTTATTAATTAATTCTTGTAATTTGTTTTGGTGAAGTGCTAGAGAATATTCCACATATTCCTATGGAGTGCAATCTTTGAGGTTTTCTCCAGATTCTTGGCGTTTTGTTAAGCTTTATTAAGTTTCTTCTAATATCCGCAAAAATGATAGAAACCGACCAACTGAAGCGTTACCAAAGTTTCCCGCGAGTTTTAACTAGCATCGAATACTTTGCATTGCTTACCTTGTAAAGGACGGACATTCCGGCGTAAGCCAATAGACTTTGCGCTGAATTTACGACCAGCTGCAGACTGAAAATTGTACCCAGCGCTTTGTTGCATGACCAGAAGACCGCGGGATATCTTACTGAGTAGACTACCAGCGCAACGGCGTAATTCAGATATTCCAGAGTAATCGGGCCGTATGATTCGGCTGGAAAACGGAGCGCGGCGTGTAAATAATCTCGTTTTCAGCGAGTGGATATTTTCACGGTATTTATTCTATTGAGTCGTATCCGAGAGAGCGCGAATTAAGTATAAAATATAACAAAATGCGTCAGATTTTCGCAAATGTATCAAATGGATCTTCGTGATTTGTAACTCAACTCCCTATTATGAGAAAATTAAATATTTCTTTCAGCAACTATAAATATTTTTATTACTTTCGCGATTCATGTGTTTATTAATCTTACCTCTGAAAATATTTTGCACCGAGAAACAATTTTTTTAATATTTTCAAAATAACAGATGATAATTCTTTTCTAAATATAGAAGTTAAAATATAAACAGCTTTTCCTACTCGCTTGAAGTTCCAGATTCAAGTTCTCAGGGTGATCCAGATCTGCCAGGCTATTCATCGTCAACGACATGCTCTGAACCGTCATGTTTCCTCCGTTGGTTCTGGAAGGTTTAACTGTTGTGAATATTCTTGTGTAATTTTTCGCCTTTGATCTGCCTTTCGAACTGCCAAGCCGGATAATAGGTCTCGTGGTTGGACGTCTCGCAGTACTGTTCTTCGGTAATGCCGTCATTTTCAAAGTCGTTGAAGTCGCCTCGGTACTTGTCGCAGCAGTCTTGGCGGAAATTGTGCTCGATATGGTTCGGAACAAAGATGAATTAGTGGCGACTGGATAGAGAACGGTCGAGAACACGGTTATCGGTTCATTACGAGTCTCGACAACATCGGGAAGCGTCATGTGCGTTATACTAGGTGACGGAGTAGTGAACTCATCAAAGTTCTCGTTAACGCCTTCTTCTGGATTCATAGTTATAAAAGGCTGAGGAGTTATCGGACCGGTCAAGGTACTCAAGTTGCCGATCGGGTTCATGAAACTCAGCAACACAAGACGATCGCGATGTATCACCATCCAGTCCAGATCGGTCCTCCATATTGCGTCTATTTAATGAAATAAAACATTTTAATATTTGCCCATGTATGTCTTATCTCCGGCAATACTTTTAACATTTATTTACAAAAAAATCTTGCACACAAAATACATCTTTTTTGCATAGAATAAGTTTTTCAAAAATAAATTATTATAATATAGATTTTGTATTTAAAGTAACTTTAAGATTTATATTTTTTTCTTAAAACAATAAGCATATTTATAAAATTTCTATGCTTTTTTAAATTTTTTACAAACTGCCTAAAGCTGACAACTTTCCATTGGCCACTTTTTTTAATTCAATTATCGTTTATCTATTTGGACTAAATGTTTTTTTGAGCGAACAATATCTTGCTATAATCAGCTTTATTGCATAAGTGAAGCGGTGATGAATGGAAAGAGACAATGGCGATACAAAATGTTCTTTTGATCAAGTGAAGAAAAAGAATTTTGTTGCAGTGTTCCAGAAGAGATGAGTCTGCCACGACTATCGGCATCTTGCTAATATTCATTTAATAATGATGCTTAGTTTTAATTATCTTGTCTTCGTATTAATAAAATTTAACGAACTTGTTACAACTTAACATAAAAGATAAATTAAGTACTTATTTAATATATTAATATTAATATATTATCGTACTTATTTGTTATATTAATAGTATATATTTGAGTTACTTTTTAAAAAATTTAGAGCAATTCTCAAAAAAACAGCGCAATAATAAAATGCAATATTCCGATAATAATAACCATATGTAATTTTTATCAGTAGCACATTTCAAATACAAGTTCCTGTTACTAGTTTGTTAGACTTTCACTAGGTTTCTTCCCGTCTTTAAAAACAAAGCTCTGAATAAATATCGAAGTGCGAAAAAAAATACCAATACCTGCATCGATTTTTTGTCTGAAACAATTCACTTTCCTCTTTTTCTCTTGCATTCGTAAGTTTCTTTTTTTTTCCGCACGCGCGATTTATCGTCGGACGTGTCTTTGTTTGTTTGTTTGTTTGTTTTTTTTTTTTTTTTTTTTTGCTTATATAATTAATGATTATTTATAAAAAT